TTTGATGGTCTCACTGCTTCTGGGTCCTGCAGTCACGTGGGTACTCTTTTTTGGTGTTAATTTTGGAGGAGCTGGGCCTTATTTTTATTATAAAAGCAGTGATTCTATGTCCCTGTACTTTATCAATCGCTCTTTCTCTCTCTTGTTTCCCCATCATTCTTTCAGAAAGGATTTTTTTAATGCATGTTAAAAAAATATGAAGCATTTATTTCTTGTGCAGTGTTGTATAGATAGGTATCTGATAAATATAGGTCCTCAGAACCAAAGTTCTATGAGATGTACTATTGCCTTTATTTAAGATAGAGTGTGTTTAAGGTATAGGAATCTACCAGCTGTTGAAAACTGCAGAACTCTTACCCATGCTGTACTCTTATTTGCAGAAGAAATACTCTAAAAATCTCCCAAAGCCAGGATAAAAGCAATTATCTAAGCCAAAATGCTAAGACTTTGTCATCATAATTGACATTTTTCAAGATAAAAATCAAGCACATAATGATTAATGAACTCAACAGAAAGATTCAAAATAAACAATTTGTACAAATCGAGATCTCTTAAACAATTACAAATATACAGTATTTACTAGTCTTTACCTGAGTTGATCATTTCATAAAGCCCTCATAAAGTTACTCATCATCAAAAATAAAATTCTACATACATGGGAATTAAATTTAGAAAAAAACATTCCTTATAATTAAATGTAATTAATCATTGCTAAAATGTCAAAACAGTAACACATTTCAGAGAATATATATGCAATGATTTTTAAAATTCTAGTGAGGCATGCTGTAAAATGTAGCTAAGCAACATATTAACATTGGTCACTTACACAACATAGTTAAGATTATAGTAAGATAAAATTTATACATATGATGATATATATAAATGTATGAATACATAACTTTCTTCGGGAGAATTATAGAATATTTGCCACTATTAATTCTTTCTGTTACATTTATTTACAAATTGATAATGTTAATAGACAATATATTTGATATTTAAATGGCTCAACAGGACTGAACCATATATGATGTACTTTTATATACATTATTGCATTTAAAAATCTATAATTTTTAATAACAAACCTCAAAAGTATTAAAATAAAGGAAATTTCTTCTTCCTTAATTGTTGGTCCCTGTTATCAGATTAATTTCCTAAAATTCTGCTTTCTTCTTGTTAGTACCCTATGCATCATTATTCAGTGGCTTCCCATTTTCTACAGAATGAAGTTGAACTCTTTATTCTGACATTGAAAATATTCCACAATTTGGCCTCTAGCTTTATTTCCAGGCCATGCTCTTCATTGACCCAGTCTCAGCAAAGCTCATTTCCACCAAGCTTGTGTTTTGTTCCTCATCTTGAATGCTCTTCCTTTTCTTTTCTTCAAATTCTGTGATCTTTAAAGGTTCAGTTCAACCCCCCCTCCCCTGTATAATCTTCCCTGTAGCTTCTCTTGCCCTCCCCTGACCTTGTCTTCACCCTCACTTTGGCTCTTAAACATACACTATTATGTACTGTTACTGAGTAACAGTACTTGTCTTTTCAACCAAATTGGAAATTCTTTAATTGGTGTCTTTGGTGTCTAGCACAATCCTGAGAATTATGAAATTTGACTGAGTATAAAATTATAAGCATATGCTAGTATCACCTTAATTACTTCTGGCTTATTTTATTTTACTCTTATAGTTTTTCTTTCCGTCTACAGAAACAGCATAACCAATGGCCGAGGTTACTGTTGCTGAAGTGTCTCCCATTCTCTTCCAAAGCTAACTCATCTTGCTGTCGGCACCGTTTAATGCATGATCTTCACTGTGCAACTGAAATATATGGAGTCCGGAATTTTCTTCAAACCAGGGATTAATCCTCTTTAATTTTATCAAGTATTAGGTAAGTTTCTGTCTTTTTTGGTAAATGTATTGTTACAGGTAGATTGTTTCCCTTTTAATAGACTATTTTCAATCAATTTCTCTGAAAATATAGAGCTTTAAAACAAACAGCAAAGTCTTCCTTTCATTGGATTTGATGTTTTTCCTTTTTCTCTGCTTTCTCTAAGCATAGGGGGAGGAAGTATAGAAGTAGAAGGATATGTGCTTTTAAAAGGCCACCCTGGGCTAGAGGTAGACAAGCAGAAATTATAGTGCTAGCTTCCTCTACTGCACTGGCAATTTAGCTTTGCTTAAGACTGTTGTGCTTGAGCCCCGAGTTTACCAATCCAAGGCAAATGTAATCCAAAACGGGTATGGTTTTCTTCTTCCATATAACAGTAGCAACCATTTATCAAACACCTACTATATGTCAGACACAATGTTGGTTACTTTATATATTACCTAAACATCCATTTTACAGAATAGAAAACAGGCTTAGACACGCTAAGTAACTGGAACTAGTAAGTGGCGGAGCTAGAGTTTGGACACAGAACAGATTTGAAAGCCTATTCTCTTTTTGCTACACCTTGCAATGTCAGTTCCTCTTACTGGCAGGAAGTCTTGGGGAATGATGGGGCTTGTAATTGATAATTCTGGCAGCTATAGGGGAGGACAGAATAATAATAAAATGTTCCAATGTATCTGGGGAGGCTCATCAACACCCCTCCCCTACATATAGTTGCTCCAGGCTTAGGTATGAGATGTTCTTCACTCTGTAATTTATCTCATTGTACACTAAACTTATCACTGTCCCTTTTGTTATGGAACATCTGATCACTTATGTTTTGGTAGGTGGGGAAGAGAGCAGAGAAGTTTTTACCTTTGTCAAGGCCCAGGACAAAAACACCATGAAATAAATCAACACCATAAGAAAAATATATAGAGTAGTGTATACTCTTATTGTTTGATATACATATATATAAAACTAAAGATTCTGCCCTGTCAAAATATATTTATCATAAAAGACAGAAATGTACATAGGACTATATCTATATCTATAGTCTTATTGCTGTGCTGGTATATGAATCCCAAGCTTGAACTGTTTACTTATTTGAAGAACAGTCAATAGAAGGAAATTCCAGTGTGACAAGAATTTTGACAATTCCTGTGTTATCTCTAGCAGGATCTAGTTATATTGTGCTCTTCCAGGAAGGATGTAGTTGTGCATGCAGGTTTTAATTGGGCAGTTACTCTCTTTTTCTTGTCACTGTACATGTGGCAGTTTCTGGCTGCTGTTTTGTGTATTAAGATTGTGGGAGGTGAGAGAAGGTTATTCTTCCTTCCCCATTTTTCTGTACTTAAGAGAGTTTAATGTACTATGTTCTTTACTTAGTAGTTAGTTTTGATTAACAGTCTAGGGATTGCTATGAAGATTTAATGAATGCTTTACATTTAGTTGGGCAGAAGTTTATTAGTATCTACCACCAAGCAGATATAACTGCATAAATATGTATTATATAATTAAGGATACTTTGTGACTTATGAGTTAATAACTTTATTTTCACTCTCGTACCTTTTTAATATTAGGGTATTTAATATGTTTCAATAAGTCACTTTCTTTTTAATAATACTAACTTAGTAGGGAACTGGAGTGCAGTTCCCATTGGCATTGACAGTTATGGTGTAGAAAGAACCTGTAACTGGAATTTGACTTTAGCTTCAGCTCTGCTTCTTGTTTTTCACCTTGGAGAAGTTACTTCACCTGTTTCCTAATCTGAAGGATGAGGATCATAATTTCTATTCCACAGTGTTCTTATAAAAAATAACAGAAGTTATAGGAACTGTTCTACAAAGTCCAAGTTAGGTTCATTACCTTGCTGCAGCAAGGGAGATGCACACAAAGAAGTGGGCATATCTCAGTAGTAGCGAGTGGCCAAGGGCTTTTTTGTTGGGTTTGGGCCGAGCACTGTTAGTCAAGGGGCCCAAGTACTACTACGTACAGTAGGTCTTGAATACTCTTTCTCCAAAATAACCTCCCACTTCCTCCCAGAGCACAGACTTTCCCACGTCGGAGCGAACTCAACCCTAGAGCGTACTCTCATTCTGTCCTTGCCTCACTTCGCCCAAGATTCTAAGTTTTGGAGAGGAGCCGTTTCTTCGTCATTCATCGTTGTATCCTTCACAGACTGCTCCTTTGTAAGTGCTTAATGCGTTTGAGATTAGTCAAGGTCCCCATACAGGGTGACGTTTAAATAGTCAGGTTAGCGAGTGAATAACAGCAGCAGATGATTTAAAGAAACTTTTGAAATTCTTCCTTCCCTCTGAGCAGTTTTTTTTTTTTTTTTTTAAATTAAAAGAGAATTTTAAATAGATTTGGGTCGCTGGTGTCCTGCCTGTAGCCCGAAAAGGACTAAGTGCAAAGTTGGGGGTGGGAGGACTGTAGCTAACCTCACTCTGGTTGCGCGTTGGCCCCAGCCCCCAGCTAGAGCCCTGGCACTGCCCCAGCGCTAGGTGGGACTCCGTGGGGTGAGCGCCGCGGATGTGCCCGTCCTACCCCCGCGCCCGATTGTGGGGTGCGGGACAGACCGTTGTCTCCGTCCCCCAAGCCGCTGTGGCCCGGCTTCTGGTCCTGAGAGATGCAGATGAAGTGGTGTGAAGGGTTGGGCTTTTTTTTTTGTTCCTACAAATGCAACGAACAAAAAAAAAAGTACAACAATCCAAACCCAACCGTCTTATTCGCGTCGCCTTAAGTGGGAGACTTTCTTGCCGGGTGGCTCCACCGGGGACAGCGCCGTCTCCTGCCGCCGGCGCTCCCTGCAGGCCGAACCCACTCGTCTGGGCTCCTGGCGGCCACGTCCCGGCGCCGCGGGCTCGGCCCCTCCGGGCAGGGCGTTGGCGCGCGCAGCCCCTCTGGAAGGGAGAAAAGCGAGCCGCCCAGGACCCTCCCCCGTTCCGGCGGGCCGCGGGTAGGGGCGGGTGGAGACACCGCCAGAACCGCCGCCTCACCTCCCCCGACCGCTACCAGGGAAAGGCGCGACCCGGAAGGCGGGACAAACACGAAGCAGGGCGGGAGGCGGAGCTCGCGGTGCTGGCGGAGGAGGGCGGCGGGGCGGGGCCGCCGGGCGCCGCGGGTCCATCTTGCCCCCTCGCCTGGCTTGTGCCGCGGTGTCTCCGCAGCGGACGCACAGCTCGCCTGGGTCTTTCGCGAGTCCCCAGAGGTCGGAGATAAGTACCCGCCGCCCGGCTCCTGTCGGGGAAGTGGGGTGGGGGAGGTTGGTCCTCCAGGCAGCCGCGAGGGTGGGGACTTGCGCAGCCCGGCAGAAACCTGCGTGGGTTGGGGCTGGTGCAGGCCCAGCCTGAGCGCCAGTCCGGGCAACGCAGGGAAACCGGCGCGGCACCGTGTCGGCGTCTGGTGGGGCCGCGTGCGGGCGGGCGCTGGCGAGCCGGGGCGGTGTGTGTGCTCCAAGAAACCTCCTCCGTCCGGAGCATGCCCGGCCCCACTACCACTGCTTCGATATCGCCTAGAAAAGACGAGTATGAACCGCAGGTTACATACAGCACGCAACCACCGCCTGGCAGTGAGCCAGGGAGGGCGCCCTAACCGCTTGAGTCTCAGTACAAAGAGCTCCTGCTACTCCCAGGCTCCTGGCCCTTCACCAGGTCCTGGCAGGTTGGCTTTATTTGTGGGGGCGATTGAAAAAATTGAGGGTCAAGACTACGGATGCTGTGCAAATAAATGCATAATACATCCCTTTTCTCCTTTCTTCGCAGTAGCCTCTAGTTTGACTGTCAAAACGTGAAAAAAAAAAAAAAGCCTGATTGCTTTGTCCTGGGAAATAAGAACCCTGCAGAACACACCTGCTTGCAGGGGACAGAGGTAAACTACAATACTTTCCCCTGTGTTATACCCATGTTTTTTTAAAAAGCACCCAATTTCATGAGGTCCAGAACCGTTCGAAATTGAAATATGTATAGAATATGTATGTTCCCATCCACTCCTTTCATTGGTGGTTTTGTTCTTTTTCATATTTTGTCAAAACTCGGGAAAATCTATACTTGGCAATTCTTTATGTGATAATTATTTTAAATTATATCCAAAGATTTATATTGCAAAGGAAGAAAGAGGCTTCAGCAGCATTTCTTTTTCTTTTCTTTCTTTTTTTTTTTTTACAGGTTTCTTTCACTTTCTCCGATGCCGGGTGAATTGTCAAGCTGCTAGGGCTTGTAGAACAGGGTGTGAGTATTTTATGACTCTAGAGACCTGTATATAGCAGGCATTTTAAAAGCTAAAGTTTACATCTAGTAGAACTTGATGGAGTTGTTGATTAACTTGCACAAAGAGAAGATACATGTCTTCAGGCTCTTCTCTACCTCTCCCCCAATCCCCCCGCCGCCCTTTTTTTTCACCAGCTGACTTATTATTAAACTTCCCTGGTAAGTCCTTTCATAACATCAGGTGTTCTTTTCGTTCTATATATTTATAATAGGTTACCTGGCCCTACTTCCGCCAAAGCTTTTGTTCAGATATGCCCATTTTCATGAAAGTGTTTTGTACCTACTAGCCTATGTAACTTTTGCTTTTTTGCCTTGAAATCATAGTTCAAGAGAGTGCAACTTCCTTTTAGGACTTATTCTAGGTTAATACACTAATGCGCTAACATAACATATAGTTAGTTTACACAGTATTTCACAAACCACCTTACATTTATATAATTTAGCAGTTTGTAAGATTCTCACACATTACTTAATCTTTCCAACAACATTATGAAGTAGGTACTATAAAAATCCTTTTATGAAGAGTAAAACTGGTGCTTGAACCTAGGTATTCAGAAACAAGTTCTGTGCTCTTTCCCCTTCACTGGATAGCCTCTTACAACCTAATTTGTAAAAGTGATAGAATTTTGGAAGGGACTTTTGAGCCCATGATTAAACATCTTCATTTTATACATGAGGATATTAAATTCTCAACTCACTTTCTGGATAATGCTACAGTCTAAGAATTGGAAAACTCAGGTTCTGTGCCTTGCTTGCTGTCTACAATTCAGGAGTCTCCATTTGGGGGGAGGGGACTGTTTTTCACTTATAATGTTAGATGTTTAGCTAGATGATCTCTAACATGCTTTTAAGCCCTGTATTTACATTTTATTCCTACCCCGTAATTTTCATTATCATCTATTCCCTATATATATTGGTAATACACAGATACATACTAATGTTAACTACCTTAAACTATTTTATATTTTAAACTTGGGTAGGTATGGTAACAAGTGTGTTGTTCTTGTTTTTTTACTAAGCTGCATAAAAGTATGGTTCTGTTGTAAGGTCAGGAATTGCATGGAGAGATAGGGCACTCTAATAAATCATTGGTTAGCATTCATAAAGTATATACCCTTTTATAGAGGAAAACTTGGTAGTCTTTTCAAGAGCCTTAAAATGTTCTTACTCTTTGCCCCAGCAATACAATTAAAGGAATTGTTTAAGGAAATAATCACAACTGTTGACCAAGACTTTTCTACAAGGTGTTTTAAATGTTTGTTATACCAAAAAAACCAAACAAGCAATAAGAAAGCATATCTGTAAGATGGACTATCATGTTTTTGAAGACTATATAACGATAGAGGAAATGCATGTGATAAAATAAGTGAAAAAAGTAGATACAAGATTGTACCATGCTACCAGTTTTATTAAAATATATGTGTACACAAGCACATATGTGCACACACACAGACACAAAATTGGAGGAAATATACAAAATAATAGTATTGGTTATACCTTGCTGATGTGATTATCGGTGACTCTTCCCCTATATTTTCTGAATTTTCTATAATAAACAGAAAACACTTATATAATTTAAGAAAACACAAAAGCTAATTGCATGTAACCTCTTCAATTTCAGTATGGTGTCAACTTTGTCTTTTTTTTTTTTTACTTGTGGTATTATCATTTAACATGAGGTCTGCCTTCTTAATATATTTTTAAGTGTACAATACAGTATTGTTAACTATAGACTCAGTGTTTTACTGCAGAGCTCTAGGATATATTTCCTTTTTATAAGACATTTATCATACCTTTTAGAATAACAATATCTTTGTAAATGCTCTACATTTCTGAATTTAGGGTAGGGAATTGCCTTTTGGCTTATATTGCATCTTTTTAAATATCTTTAGATCATTGGCTTACCCATTTTTGTTATTCATGAAAAACACTGCCATTGTTATTACTTGGCTTGGGACTCTAGGTACTAGAATGGTACTAGAAAAATAGAATGTTATGCCCACTCTAATAACAGTTAACCAAATATAGGTGTTTTTTTAACATACAGAATATTTACATCCCAGTCAAGACTCCTGTAAAGCAAATTCCCATAACATGAACTCTATTTTAAATTCATTTCTGTTGTAGATACATTTCTAAGGAATAGCTGAACTGAAAATTTTTGCTGATAGTTTAAATTATAGGTTTCTCCTTGTCGCATAAGCACCACAAGTATATCCTACTTGGCAATACCCTGGCTCCCAATTTAAAACTCTGAGAAGAACTCTTCCTTTTTCCTCCTACATGTTTGCAATATTGAATATGAGCAAAGCAGTGCCAATATAGCATATATAATATAGCCAACCTAAAACTGCTTTTGGTCAAGCGTAATTAGATTTCTACTTAATATATTCTGTAGATCAGGTTTACTTAGAATAAGATGTGCATATAATTCTATACTGAGCAAAAGGAACTTTTTTCATCCCAATTACATTAACAGTAATCTCATAAGGCCTGTTTCTACTTGGCACAATATTAGATACTGTGTAAATCTCAATTATCTAGATAAACCTATCTACTGAGTGCTCGACTTTGACAGTAATTTCTGAAAGCTGGAATTAACCTTGGGTACAAAGTTAGATGATGGAAACTTTTAAATGATACCAACCCATTGGGGGTAATAACTCAATAGGTCAATGTTTGCCAAGTGAATGGATATAAAAGACGACAATTTGTTTTAGGAATAAAAGTTTGCTACCTTCACTTAAACCCATTTAGATTTATTTGGGAGAAGAGAATCCAGACATTTCTGGCTCATAAAACCTTTTCTGAAATCAGTAATACTGACTTAATTTAATTAGAACTCTTAACAGGTTAAGATAAATGTCTGTGTCTGGTTGGTACCAGACTAGGGGAATAATTTAGTATATATGTATGTTTCCCTCAAATTCAGACACATTTTATTCAAATTGATTTTATCTGGATGGGGGAAAATGGGATTCAACACCATTTGGAGTCCACCTAGGTTTCTCAGTAGTCATGCATAAAGTGGACAGGAATATCCAATCTAGCTGTTAGCCTAAAATCCCATTGACTTAATGCTGTAGATTTACAAGAATTAGAGTAATATCTTGGGTGATTATCAAGTGACACAGGAAAAAGAAAAAGGGAAAGGAAGATAAGGTAAAGAGAAGGGTGGGGAATAAAGTAAGACTAGGAAGACATCAAAAGATTGTACTCATTGTAACAGTATGGGGAAAACAAGTTAAAAGAAAAACAGCAAAGAGTCAGGGCTAAATAATGGTACACAGAAGAGAATGAAGTAAAGAAACAAAGTTTTCCAGAGTGGTCTTAACTAATAAGGTAATGATCTGGTTTTTATAATTTTGAGAATGTTGCCTCAGTTCAACTTGCCCTTTGTGAACTTTCTAAGTCGATGAGCTTTCCAAGCTGGTGGACCTTCTTTCCGTACAAAATCTATTTTGTGCTACCTGTCAAGAACCCTACTAGAAATATCTTAGAGGAAATTTTACCTACTACTCATTCTAGGATAATGCCAGAAGAGGTAAGTTACTTATTCTGTTTTGTGGACACAGAAGTAACTTATATTGTTTGCAAGTGCCACATAACAATTAGATAAGCTATTTTTAGACACTGTATACAATATGTTAATTTTCATGTTCCTTTTTTGAGATTATATCTGAAATCTTGTCCTGTTTTGATCATATAAGAAATCATGGAACGGTCTCTAAAAGCCAGAAGGAAGTGTAATAACACATTGATATAGAGTATTTAAAACAACTTTGTAAATAATTTTAATGTTATGTCTTTCAAAACAGTTGTACAAATGAGAGAAACTAATATGTTTATTAAGTGGTTTGTCAAAGGCCCCCCTTTAGTTTTTTCCCTGACTTTTTAGTATGAAGATTCTCACATCTGGAAAAAATTCAGATGAAAACTACAATAAATATCCTTGCATCCTGTACCTAGATTCAATAGTTGTTAACTAGACCCTTAGTTTCAAGAAAGTGTTTATTAGTGGATCTCATACTAAAATAAACTATGGCATACTATTTGAAAATAAGATTGATTAGTGTGTAGGGCTGACCCCATGGTGCACTCAGGAGAGTGCGGTGCTGGGAGCGCAGTGACGCTTCCGCCACAGGTTCGGATCCTATATAGGAATGGCCAGTGCACTCACTGGCTGAGCATGGTGTGGGCAACACCACAACAAGGGTTGCGATCCCCGTACCGGTCACAAAAAAGACAAAAAAAAAAAAAAAAAAAAAAAAAAGATTGATTAGTGTGCTAAGAGAAAGTGATTTTTTAAAAAAGTGAGCTGTTTTATTTTAAGCACTGTTTCAAGATAAGATTCGTGGCTCAGTTTGGTAGGGCTTAGCATAATTTGTGTTTGTGAAATGACAGTTTCAATGTTTGTTGTCTAGTTACCTGATAGGTATTGAGGTACTGTTTTGAAATTCCTGAATTCAAAGGTGCCTTAAAGCAGGATGGAAATTTGGATTAAATCCTTAAGATATGAAGCATAATGTCTTGGCTTTTCCATTTGTTCCCTAATGGGAATTGGAAAATTATGAGTAACATTTTGAACAACTTTATATTGTTAACAGCCAATGGAATTTAAAGTCTTAATAGGAGAGTTTCTTTTACTAATAGATTTTATAAGTAGAAAGCTAACTTATTTAAGAATGAGTGAATAAGCACCTTTTACACCATAATCGTTTTGGGTTGATCATTTAAAAATAAAGGAATTCTAAGGAGAAGTCTGGTACATATTAGCTATTACTTCTATTTTATGATTCCTTTTCTTTTAAGTATGGGCTTTTCCATTTTTAATATTTTAGTGGTTGTGCTATAGACCTCATTTGTAGAGTCTGTTGCTATATACCTACTCAAGGTAGGATTGATAAAACACATTTTATAGTTTTCCTTGATTGTGAAAGGCTTGATAATTTATTGAAAATCTGTGGTGGTGTTATGCAGCTATGCATTTATCAAAAGTAGAACTGTCCGTAGAAAAGAGTGAATTTTACTAAATTAAATTAAAATTTAATTTGTAAATTAAAAACTATGCTACAAAGTATAAATATGGCAGGAAAATGAGGTTGACTTTTTTCCAGAGAGGCAGTAGACAACTAGTGTATATTCAGCTATTTTAATTGCTGGTGTGAAACACTTGGGAAATTTTTAATTGGAAGGAAAGTAGATTTTTGTGCTTGAAAACTAAACTTTTTTGATATTCAGAAACACATTCAAAGGAAGAAATGAATCTTGGAAAACTTGTTTGCTTTTATATATTTAATTTGACATTGGTTAAATTGAAATTTGAACAGCAAACAATAATTTTGGTTACAGTAAGTTTCTTCACTTCTATATTGGAAAAAAAATAGCCAAAAAAAGAGGTGGAGGGCATATGTGCTTTAGTTCATGTCAAGGGAGTAAGCCCTGTTGATTTTTTCAGATTTTATGTGTTAACCACACTTTAAGAAAAGTGTCTATAAGTTCCTTTTCTGTGAAGAGTACCCGTCATTTATGAGACTAAAACCCTTATTATGTATTTTCCTTTAAAACTTTTGAAGCAACAAAGAAGCCTGCCATGGTTCCTTGGATCATGTTAACATATCACAGTTTTCTTTAAAAGGTAGTAGAGTCAGCTGTAGTGGTCACATATTTTTTTCCTCGAGAAGGTTTTGAGTATAAAGAAGAGAATTAAACTAAGGGAAGAAAAGAAAATAGTGTTTAGCTTTTAAAGTGAAAATAAGAATCTTTAAATTTTAAACCAAAATTTGTAAGCTATATCACTACCAATGTAAGAAGAAATGGATCTTTTGTCATTTGATGCAATTTGAAACAAACAGACTATCTGAGCAGTATTTTTTCTCTCTCATTCATTTTAAGACCTGTAAGTTGCTTATGGCTTTGGGATGACTGTTTATTATTTCTAAGTTTCCTGTCTGTGGCATTTTCCTTTTCACTTTTGATCATATTTGATTGCCTTAAAATTCTTCTTGGCCTCTATTGCAGTATCCTTCTCAGTTTTCTTCTAAGTTTCTTTTTGCCTTGGGTGCCCTTTCTCTCCTCCTCATCCCAACCAATCACTTGCTGTGTCCTTTGTTTTCCTCCTGCTTATTTAGTATGCTTGGATAGGATTCCTCTGGAAATATTAACCTTGCAAGAATGAGTAAGTTAGGTTTACTTCATTGAGTGCTGCCCCCACTACTTTCCTGTTTCTACTGCCTACTCAAAAATCTGGCCTTGCTGTAGAATTCTTAGGTGAAAGATGATGGAGTAGTGGAGGTGATAAAGTATGGAGCCAGGACTAGGGTGGGAGGATCATAACCTCAAGCTTTATAACCACTCTCTTCCCAATGCTTTTCAAAGGTTATATGATTTCTGATATCACAAAGATTTTTCAGAAAAATCAGCTAATTGCACATTTTTGCCATATGACACTAAATTTGAGACAGAATAATCTTTGCTTTAATTCTACATATATATTATATGACTGTTGAAGTTACTGTTAAAAAAATTACTTGTTTTTTATTGTAAGATGACATACAGATTATTAGATCCTATTTTATTTATTACTTTGGTGATAATGTGATATGTATCTGTGTATCCCTGAGTAAACTGAATGAAGAAATATTTAGCACTATTTTTGGTTTTAAAACTTTAGGGATGAATGTACATTTTAAAATAGTAAACTTGCATTGATAAGTGGCATACTCTAAATCAGGAATTTCAAATATTTGCCTTTACAACACTCTTAAAAACTGAGGATCCCTGGGGCCGGCCCGGTGGTGCACTGCTACAGTGCGCTGCTTGGGAGTGCAGTGGCTCTCCCGCCGAGGGTTCGGATCCCACATACAGACCGGTGGCTCACTGGCTGAGCGAGGTGCGGGCGCAACACCGAGGGTTGCGATCCCGTTGCCGGTCCCGGTCTGGTACGGGTGCGACACTGAGGGTTGTGATCCGTTGCCCGTCACGAAAAAAGACAAAAAGGAAAAAAAAAAAAAAACCAAAAAAACTGAGGATCCCAAGAGCTTTTGTTTCTGTATGTACTGTCTATAGATATTTACTATATTAGAAGTTAAAGCAGAATTTAAAAAATTAATTTATTTAAAACAATGATACACCCATTATATGTTAACAAAGAACTTAGGAAAAATAATTATTTTCCTAAATAAAATTGTGAGAAGACTGGCATTGCTTTATATGTTTATAGATGACTTTAATGAATGGCTATTTAATAGAAGGCAGCTGGAGTCTTTTATCTGCTTCTGCATTCAATGTGTTGCAACAAATTTTAGTTGAAATACACAAAGAAAAATCTGGCCTTAAACAGATATGCAGTTGGTAAAGGAAGGAATATTTTAATAGCCATTTCAGATAATTGTGGATTTTCCTTGATACTATACCAAAACCCATGTGCTGGTTTCTTTGTTGCAGTATGGCATCTGAAATCATATTTATGAACCTATTGTTTTTTCTTGTACTTCACATGGATCTTTTATCCATTCATGATTTGTAATGTCATACTTTAGTGACTTGAAAACATATTTTTCACTGTGTTATGCAGATTTCTAAATATTGATGTTTCATTATATGGTACTCTCCCACGTCCCCCCAAAACCCCTCACATTCATTAATATTGCCACCTATCTTATCAGAAAAGTCTTTAATTAATGGTAAGCTGTCATGCTCACAAGTGGCAGACATATTTTCCAGAATTCTAATTTACACGTAAAAACCTAGCTTTTTTATTGGCAAGGAATACTGTCATTTGTTTTTGAAGTAACAAGCTCATTTTGTTCATTTTCAAGAAAATGTCTGTCAGATACCTAAGTCTGAATAGCTGTAGTTTGTCATTTGTTCTTTCAAGTAAAGATGATATTCCACGAAAAAAGCAGCTGTTCAGCTTGCAACTCAATCATATATAAGTGCTTTTCCTCCAGACAACATCTGCTGGTATGCAGAAGTGCTTTGTGTGTACTTCCTATTTTATCACACAAAATATTAAAAAGATGTACATAGGATCAAGATTTAATAAAATGAATAATTTTTCCTGCTTCATTAAGAACATTCTTAAATGAAACTGGCTACCCCACCCCACTTCAAGTGTCTGGTGGTGAAGAATACAATGACTAGTGGTACAGTTTGGTGTTGCTTACTGCCTTGCTTGATTCCTGCTAAGGCTCCAGTAGTGTTTACCCACTATTGCTTTTACAATGGCAGTGCAAATGTCAGCATGGTGCAAAAAGCAAATAACATCCTAGTATTATTACGAAATGCTCTGAAAGAGGGACACCCAGGTTTCTGTCCACATTTTGAGAAATGATGCCCTATATTATATAAGATGGCTTTGATTTCTGTTCTGGTGGTTTAAAAACAACAAAAAATTCATTTAATTCTCTAGGGAAAAATGAATTGCAACTGTCTCATCTAGTGCTTTTACCTATTATTTTAATAACTGTAATCTTGCCTTTGAAATAGAATATGCTAATTCCTAATAAAAGTCTGCATGAGAGTACATGCTTGGATTTATATTTCTGTGCTTCTTTCTTTTAAATAGCATACTATTTTATATTTGTGGGCCCAGAGTAAAGAGCTCATTCTATTACAGACACTGAGTAGCTTTGTTTCTGATAGCTGGTAGTCAGCTCTCTGTTTTAAAACAATCAGTTGGGTCCTGGTTGGCTCAACTTGCAGTTGTCCTAGTCCTCACCCTGTCTCAGCCAAAGACTGTTATTGGAAAGCCCACACAAAGGCCTTGTGTATAGGGTGCCCGACTAATAGTGTGTTCTAGTCCCAGGGGATTAAACCTGCTTTGGTGTGCATTCCCTTCCCAAATTACTCACTAATTTCCTTTGTTTGGCTGGTTATTTCAGTGAAAGATCATTTTAATGTGAAGACACCTTCTTTTAATTATTACATAGCCCTAGTGGAGGGGATTACTGGATTAAAATAAAATATTTCTTTCTCTGTGATAGGATGTGATGGAGCTGCTTGAAGAAGATCTCACATGCCCAATTTGTTGCAGTCTGTTTGATGATCCTCGAGTTTTGCCTTGCTCGCACAACTTCTGCAAAAAATGCTTAGAAGGCATCTTAGAGGGGAATGTGCGGAATTCATTGTGGAGACCATCTCCATTCAAGTGCCCCACATGCCGTAAGGAAACTTCAGCTACTGGAGTTAATAGCCTGCAGGTTAATTATTCCCTGAAGGGTATTGTGGAAAAGTATAACAAGATCAAGATCTCTCCCAAAATGCCAGTGTGCAAAGGACACTTGGGGCAGCCTCTCAACATTTTCTGCCTGACTGATATGCAGCTGATTTGTGGGATCTGTGCTACTTGTGGTGACCACACCAAGCATGTCTTCTGTTCTATTGAAGATGCCTATGCTCAAGAAAGGGATGCCTTTGAATCTCTCTTCCAGAGCTTTGAGACCTGGCGTCGGGGAGATGCTCTTTCTCGCCTGGATACCTTGGAAACTAGTAAGAGGAAATCCCTACAGTTACTGACTAAAGATTCAGATAAAGTGAAGGAATTTTTTGAGAAGTTACAACACACGTTGGATCAAAAGAAGAATGAAATCTTGTCTGACTTTGAGACCATGAAACTTGCAGTTATGCAAGCCTATGACCCGGAGATCAACAAACTTAACACCATCTTACAGGAACAACGAATGGCCTTTAACATTGCTGAGGCTTTCAAAGACGTGTCAGAACCCATCATATTTCTGCAACAGATGCAGGAATTCAGGGAGAAAATCAAAGTAATCAAGGAAACTCCCTTACCACCCTCTAATTTGCCCACGAGCCCTTTAATGAAGAACTTTGATACCAGTCAGTGGGAGGACATAAAACTAGTAGATGTGGATAAACTTTCTTTGCCTCAAGACACTGGTACATTCATTAGCAGGATTCCCTGGAGCTTTTATCAGTTATTTGTGATGGTCCTTCTTTTTGGCCTTATCATTTTCTTTGGTCCTACCATATTTCTAGAATGGTCTTTATTTGGTGAATTGGCAACTTGGAAAGACCGTCTTTCAAACTTCAGTTCCTATCTGACTAAATCAGCTGACTTTGTAGAACAATCAGTATTTTACTGGGAACAGGTGACAGATGTGTTTTTCATTTTCAGTGAAAGAATCAAAAATTTTACTTTGGTGGTGCTGAACAATGTGGCAGAATTTGTGTGCAAATATAAACTATTATAAAATCTGTTTTAACTATGCAGTTCTCCATCTTTTCTTAGAAATTGTTAAGAAAACAGAGTACTAATTCAGATTTGGTCAAGATTTCAGTCAGATATTTTCCTCTAAGAGTATTCCTTTCAAAAATAACATCCTATATGTGTTGTTCAAATTAGGTAGCATAAGATGAAAGTGAAATTTAGCAGAACCGTCCTGAGCCCTCTTCCCTTTTTAAAGAGTGCTTTGAAATAAGCATTCTCTCTTTAATACTGTTTGTGTTTATGCTGTAATAAAAATAGGAAGTGAGAGACCACATGGTCTGATGTTGTATTATGGAGGTAGGTAGTGTAATAGTGATTGTTCATCAAGCATGCAATAAAGATTACTCTTGCAGAGCAACTTTTTTTATGACAAACTTTTTGAAAAGGGAAAGGTGGGTTGAAAATATGGATGAAATGGATTTCAAATATTTCTATGGAGGGTTGATTCCTTTATCACCCAAATGTAAATCTAAACAAAAACTGGCATTTTCTTACTGTAAGTTTACATTTTTAGGAGGTTTGGAGATTTCAGCCTGCCCTTTTCTCCTTTGTTTTTGTAAATTTTTCATTAAAGCTGATAAGCTGCAGAAGTGTTAGGTGGCAGTGCAATCAAAGATGTAGATTTAAAAAAAACCAACAAACCGACACACAGTAAGAGCAGGAAATGGGAAGGCCACCTTTACTGGCAGCTAAGTGTTATGTTGTTCCATAGTATCATGTCAACTGTACAACTAAGCCAGTTAACTAACTTGCTTACAGAATTTTAAGTGTAGTAAGACTAATTTGACAACAGATGAAACAGTCTCTCAGCCATTATAATCAGCTGAATGTTAATGCTGTCCTATCTGCTCACATAAGATAAAGATGCCTCATCTCTTTCTGAATAAAAATACTTTTCTCACCTTGCTTATAATTCAGATGAAAACAAAGAAGTAAACATCTTAGAACTGTTGTCTAGTCTGCCTTATTTCTGTTATGGAATAAGACATCCCTTTGAAAGCCCATTAAGTGGAACAGGATTTCAGAGAAGAGAGTGTCTTTTCCCCAGTCCTCCTTTAATTTGGTTGAGAGAAGGTAAGTAAAGCAGGGACAGGAAAAAAGGTGGCAACTAAATTTAAAGTACAGAAGAAATCATTTCCTTCTGGCGATGAGAAGAGTCAAATTAAGCTGCTAGGTGAGGTAAATGGCTGCCTCATTCCCAACATAATTCACGATTTAGCCACTAAATTGCTAAGAGGATCATAAGAAATTAAGGCAATTCTGTAAATCTTTCCTCTGGACATGATGGCTCATGGTAAGTAAGGGGGAGGTGTGTGGGGAAGGGGAGTGCTTTTCTGCTCCCAGTAACTTAAAAAAAAAAAAAAATACAGATTTATACCAAGTTTTCATGGAGTTTTTTTTTTTTAATGCAATGCAGGAAAAGAGTTCTATTTGATGTCTATCAGATATATTGGCAGTTTTTCTTAAACTATTGAGTTCCTCATCTGTTGCTTTTTATTTTGTATTCTCCAAGTTCCCAAGCAACTTAAACTTGCAAATATAGCTATGAATACACTATTTGCCTTACAGTAGTTACCAAGGAATCCAGGTCTTTTGTTTTTGTTATTCTTCCCTCCATTTCTTAATCATATATAACTAGCAACATTTATGGTTATAGGTTGATTTGCAAGTTCTTCATAAGTCTGTGACTGATGGTTGTAGCCTTCAGAAGAATAGGGAAGAATGAGTAGTCAGGAACTGGTCACTCTGAATGTCAGAGGGCAGATATTCACGACAAGATTTTTCTATCATAATGCAGTTTCCTGTGTCTCGGTTGGCATGAATGTTAGATGGCAGGGACCAAGAATTCAAGATGGTTGGTGGCCAGATTTTTGTGGACAGAGATGGTATTTTATTTAGTTTTGTCTTAGAGCTTTTGAGAACTCAACAGCTTTTATTACCCACTAACTTTTCAGACTATCTTAGGCTTCAGAGAGAGGCTCTTTTCTATGAACTTGATTCTCTGGGTTGATCTCTTAAACCAACACCTGCTACAGTGAAGGCCTGCTCTTATGGAGGAGTGTTTCCTAAGCCGAAACACTCAAGCTTTTTTCAGGGTGTTTGGCTCTTGCAACAAAACAATTGAAATGCTAACTGGGAGGATTACAGTGTTTATAGAGAAACCTTCTGCACTGACCTGGAGTAACTCTCCTTCCTCAGATGACCTTACTTCCACTGCCTCCACAAAGACCTTACCATGACCTGGTTTTCCAGTGCGGCTCTGACAGCACTACTGATAACCAAACTGGAGTCAGGTATTTTGTACTTTGAAGCATCTGTTTTCTATACCAATTCCTGATGTTTTCTCTCAAAACTGAAATTTCATAATGCCTGAAGCTTTTTTTTTGAAAAAATGATTATTCAAAATATGTTTTGGGGTAACCAGTGGAGTTGGGTAGAATGACCAAATAATTGTTTTCCAACGAGAATACTTTTCAGACTGAAGGGGGTATTGTTATCATGTGGGACAATAATAACAAACCAAGTCTGTCCAGGGAAAATTGGGACTACACACATTCAAGTTGTAGGAGGAAATAATTTAATAGATTGTGTTACATTGCTAATGAATTTGGCTTAGAAATGAATTGCCTTATTTTTTCAAGAGGTTTTTAGTAGCACTCATAGGAAGGCTCAATCGTTTTTCCTGACTTCCTTACACATGAATATGTTTGTTCTTTCAGTCCTTATGATTTAACTACTGATTTTTCTTCATCTGACTGTATTTTTAAACACTCTTAAAGGCAGATATATCTCATGGCAAATTTGGTATCCTGTTATATCCTTGGCTCTTACACAACTCAACATATTGGGATAGGCTGTCTGTATATTATGGATAGTTGCTCCTGAGTCAATTATTCAATTTTTCTTTCTGTTCTTGGCTGGATTAGGGCTGATTTCCACTCTGCTGTCACAGACATTTTTTTCAACCTTAAAAATGTCTTAGTGCTGTCCACCATTATTTTACCAACTGTGAAAGCTGGCTTTCGTTTTTTGGAGGAAAAAAAGCCTGCATAGGTTCTTTACGGATAGCATTTAAAAATATATATACTAATTTTTGGTAAAGGACAGATATAGTTTAGCATACTTTCTAAACTTCAGCAGTAACCATCAAGAAGGATGGTGTCTGCCTCTCACAACTCACTCCTTGGTCTTGCTTACCACGTGGAGAACACTAGGCAGTGTAGCCAAGTATGACAGTTCTTAAGTTTTTACACTTTATAATTTCCTGCCCTTTCCAAGAGGTTGAACTGTCATTTTGGGAAAAAGAGAGCCAGCCATGAGGCTGATTGTGAAGAAAACCTAAGACTTCATCTCAAACTTTTAAGATACCTCTGTACACAACTTTATTTTCATTGGTGGGGTACTTAAATAAATAGAAGAGAAATGAACAATTTTTTGTTTTTCTAAATTTTATGGGATGATTATAACCTCTTTGGGGATCCTTTTTCAAAAAGTTAGAAACCTAAGGAAAAATGGTGTCATTGATTTTAGTAAATAAATTTAATAAATGCTCTTTAAAAACTATGCATTTGGAGAGAGTAAGTCTAATCTTGAAAAATAATGTTAGAAATTCAAATTGAGACATTCCTGTGTGTACACTGTGCCAAATGGATTCCCCTTTTCTTTGTTGAGTGTTTGTGTTAGAAACAGCACAAAAATTTTTTTCATCTTAATGTGAAAAAGACATTATGCTTAAACTTCACAATAGGTAATTCCAAAACCAGTAGTTATTTTTAAAATTAACATTTTTTTCATCACCAAATCGTATTCTTTTCAGTTGTTTGAAGTTCAGAATTTTTTCCATCTCATATAAGTGTTAGTGATTTTTTTAATATAGTGCTAATTTCAGAGTAGAGATAGATAACCTGAATAAAGTGACATTATGGGGATCTTTGATGATTAGATGAAAACTCCAGCCTTGAAAGGCCCACCTTGAATATTTAACTGCATTAATTAGCAATTATTTTAATTTTTTTGTTTTTTGCTCCTTCCTGGTTTGAATCTGTCTATTCAGATGTTTACGGACAGTGGAAAGTAGAAGAGTAAGCTTGAATGGTTCCTAAAAGTCTGGTATATCAGCTTATTCAGTATGTTCTACCAGTATGATTTACCACTGTAAGGTTTTGTTAACCTAGCAGGTTGTTCAGTTATTAACTCAAGTTCATAGTACTAGTAATACTTGGCTTGCATTTTCCAGATGACCATTCATGTGATACCACGTTATCAAGTTCAAGTTATGGTCACAGGATTCTAGAGTCTTTTGGTAGCCTTTATTCTATCTGACCTCTCCTTTTTAAACTGGCTCAAATGAAAAAGTATGGTTGACTTTAAAAATTTTAAAATAAGTTTACATTTTCTATTTCCCATTTGTTTCTTCTATTCCATCATTTTCTTGTGCCTTGAAATCTTTTATTTTTCTATTTGGCCTCATAGGGAATCAAGTACTTTAGCTCAGTAATTTCTGGCAAGGGCATTCCACTTTGTTACCATCTATTACATACTACTGTATTTGTATCTTAATTCTTTTTTTTTTTTTCCTTTTTGTCTTTTTTACTGACCGGTAACGGGATCGCAACCCTCAGTGTCGCGCCCGTACCGGGGACCGGCAATGGGATCGCAACCCTCGGTGTTGCGCCCGCACCGCGCTAAGCCAGTGAGCGGGAACCCGTCTCCACATGGGATCCGAACCCTTGGCGGGAGGGCCGCCGCGCTCCCAAGCGGCGCACTCTCCAGTGCGCCACCGGGCCGGCCCTTGTATCTTAATTCTTTTATGAGATGTTTTGTAACTTCCTTTCACAAATGTTTCTAGGACAAACAATCAAGATCTGGGGCTTGGGTGTAGATGGAATAATTAATGTTGAAACTTTGCTGTATTAAAAATAATAAACATTTTCTTGAAATGTGCTTTGTAGTTTGGTAATTCTTAGATTTTACTGTTGATTGTTTTCCTTGCCTAGAATGAGTTTCTAAATGTAAGCTACAGTAACCACTCTATTTCAATCATGATTATTAGAAGAAAGTTAGGGATATCCTCAAGTGTCTTTGTATACCATAAAACTACAGATAGTTTAGGTTTTTGCCTAGAACTAATCGAAGTTAGTCTTTTCTTCACATCTTATAAACAAATGGTAAGAGAACACAAAGGTAAAAATATCCTTGATGGCAGATAAGGAAGGAGTAATATGGCTATATCTATGCAGATTTGTTGACATTATTAAAGACATCATATAGCCAATCTGAAAAGTTCAGGTGTATTTTTCTTTTTTTTTTAAAAGATGACCAGTAAGGGGATCTTAACCCTTGACTTGGTGTTGTCAGCACCACGCTCTCCCAAGTGAGCCATGGGCCGGCCCCTTGGTGTATTTTTCTTTTTTTTTTAAAAGATGACCAGTAAGGGGATCTTAACCCTTGACTTGGTGTTGTCAGCACCACGCTCTCCCAAGTGAGCCATGGGCCGGCCCCTTGGTGTATTTTTCTTGAATTATGTGTACTGGTTCTGTGGAGCTGCCCAGAGGCTTTTTTTTTTTCTACTCCAGAGGCTTTTTGACCCCAAGTTTTTCTCTTTGACAATGGACAGTTGAGTAAAAACTGACAATAAAATCTTCTTGACATTTTATATCTGCAAAATTTCATCTGAAAAAATGGATTTGATAGGAATAAGTCACAAAAAAATTTTGTAATGTCAGTGCTAATTGGTAAAATTGGTGGGGAAAATTGGTGGGGAAAATTGTAAATGCACAAAGTTCATTAAAACAGTTGATCAAAGCAATTAATTTAATTGATTAAATTGAATAAATGTATCAAATTAGAAACAGTAAAGTTGGAAATAGTTAAATAACGCTATATAAAATTAAAGCCAATTTAATTGTTTGATCAAATTGTGCCAGAAAATAATTTCTCAATGAAAATTCTTAATGTTGATTATATTCCTAAATGTGGAATTGAAATGACTTTGGAAATCACAGCAAGGTCTCTTGTTTTCAGTGTTTGAAAGTACTAATTTGGATTTGTAAATAAAGTCTCAAAAAAAATATGATCAAAAATGGTGTGACGCCTGTTGAGGTTATAATTCAGATTTATGTGTGTAGTTTTGCTAGTTATTAAAGGGATGCTTTATAATTAAACTTTTTTTGTGTATCCCAGGTATGTTTCTATAAAACCAAAAATTGGCAAATGGAGCAAATGTCCTTGGCTTACTGATTGATACTTTATTAAAGGAAGGCTTCCATCTGGTCAGCACTAGAACAATATCCTCTGAAGACAAAACTGAATGCTATAGCTTTGAAAGGATAAAAAGCCCTGAAGCCCTTGCCATGAACAAAACACTGAAACCAGAGACTAACATCATACCAGAGCAATCTCAGAAAAAGAAATGAAGTAGTTGTCTGTTCTCTTTCAGAGTAAAGGAAAATTGCCATTTTCTTGACTGGAAGTTACATGTTTGGGGCATACATGTTATTCAAACCTGTACTCAATGTAACTTTTTGGCCTCACCTTTTACCATGCCATCTCAGGGCAACCAAGCACCAACAGTGCTTAAGCCACACAACTGCTTGCTGCTCTCTAAACACCACCATGCAATTGGTGTTTTGGCACATGTTCCTTCTACCTTCAATGCTTCTTTCCCCTTTCCTTCTTCATGAACACTCACACAACTTTTGGAAATGGGCTCTAGAATCGGACTGCTTATTTCTAATCCCAGCTCAGTCACTTATTAGCTATGTGACTTGGGAAAGTCATTTAACCTCTTTGTGCTTCAACTTCTTCATCTATCAAATGGGGATAATAAAGATTTCTCCCTCATAGCATATGTGAGTATTAGAGAAGATAAAGTTTTCAACACATTGCCTGGCACATGGTAGGCACTCAGTAACTGTTAGTGATGTTGATGACAAGACAGATGGCCCACTTTACTATACATAAAGTACTGTGCTAAACATTTGGTAAGAGCAATATCATCTTTGTTAATAATTAGTACCTAAATTTGGTGAAAAGCTTTGGAGTACTCTATACCAATATTTAAATTGCACATATACTTTGACTTAGTATTTCCTCTTGTAGGTGTTATATAGGATAAACACCTAGAGGAGGAATCATTAAGTCAAAGAGCACCAAGAACTTTGCAAATAGTAGGGTTAAAATCTGTTGAGTAGAAGCAGGTAAGCACCATTTTAAAAAGTATAATTCATTCAAAAAACATCTGTTAAACATCTGCTGGACACTATATTAAGTTTTTAGGATTAAAAAAAGTAAGACAAAAATCCTTGTCTTCAAAGAGTTTACACTCAAGTAAGAAAGTGCATCATTGTAACAGCAAAACATTAGACATAAGCTCAAAGTTCATCAATATGGAATGGATAACTTATGATTCATACAATGAAATACTATGTAGCCCTTAAAAAGAATGAGGCAGCAGTTTATAAACTGAAAAGGATCATCAAGACATAAGTGGGGGAAAAAAACTACAGAATAGTGTATAAAGTTGAAAAAATATATATAGTTTCCATTTGTGGAAAAATACATATACACACTTTCTTATAAATGCATGGAATTTTCAGCAAAACTGCAGGTCACCTATGGAGAGGAAAAACTGGGTTAGTGGTGTTTAGGTGTGGGAGGAAGACTTCTTTTCACCAGACCAGACTATTATGTATTATAGTATTATCTATTAAAAAGAGAGAAAAAAAAAAAGGAAGAAGCCATATCTGAAATATTATGTCTATGTCTATGTGCAGGGCTTGGGGAGACTGTTATGGCATAGTATAGCCTATTATCTCTCATACTAACACAAATTTTACTCTACCACCCTTCCTTTTTTTTTTTTTTTCTTTTTTTGTGACCAGCAACGGATCGCAACCCTCAGTGTCGCGCCCGTACCGGACCGGGACCGGCTATGGGATCGCAACCCTCGGTGTTGCGCCCGCACCTCGCTCAGCCAGTGAGCGGGAACCGGTCTGTATGTGGGATCCGAACCCTCGGCGGGAGCGCCGCCACGCTTCCCAAGCGGCGCACTGTAGCAGTGCGCCACCGGGCCAGCCCAACCACCCTTCCTTTGAAACATCTACACTTAGTAAAGAAGTTGAAATTTCTAGTAACTTTTAAATTTGTGTACTAGGTTGTGGAGAAGAAAGATTTTTAAAAAAATTTTCTAAGTACTTCAAAAAAAGTTATGTATAACGTGTCAGTGCAAAATACTTAAATATTAGTAACGTTAAGGTTAGCAACTGAAAAGAATGTCCAAATAAGAAAAAATGTCCTAAGAATAAAGTTTTGTTTCGGTTTTGGCAGTGGTCATTCTCTCCTTTCTGAAGAAAAGCCAACTCAGTTGTTTTAGTGTGTCATTTTCATTTTTAGGAATGATGTGTTTGGTCTGGTTTCCTTGTTAGCCTTATATTCTAGGGCACAATATTTCTTTATTTTTTTTTTTTCCTTTTTGTCTTTTTTCGTGACCGGCAACGGATCGCAACCCTCAGTGTCACGCCCGTACCGGACCGGGACCGGCAACGGGATCGCAACCCTCGGCGTTGCGCCTGCACCTCGCTCAGCCAGTGAGCGGCCGGTCTGTTTGTGGGATCCGAACCCTCGGTGGGAGCGCTGCTGCACTCCCAAGCGGCGCACTGTAGCAGTGCGCCACCGGGCCAGCCCTAGGGCACAATATTTCTATTCTGCTAAATTTTTAGCATACATATGATTTAACTAGTTGGGTATAATTGGTATGGTTATGGATGTAACACTGTTTAGTTCAGTATAGCACTTTGCTGATAAGATTAAAAACTGATAACTCATTAAAAAATATTGAAGCAAAAAATATTGTAACACAGTTTGGCAAGGAATAAGACAGGAAGTGTTTAAATTGCTATTAAAGTGTTCTTAGTCATTTACATTTTCAGGAAACAATTTTGAGATTAGAAAAAAATATTCTTTTTAATGAACTAGTAGAAATATATTACCTATGGAAACATATAATATACATAACATTCATTCAATAAATACTTTTTGACATCTACTATGTGCCAAGTACTACTCTTGACATTGGAGATCCTTACTGAAAAGAACAAAATAATTCCTGCCCTTCTAGAGCTTACCACAAATACAATTCATAACATTGACAATGGGTTTAAATTAAAGTAACTTAAAGCTTTTCAAATAGTTTCTCAAAAATCATGAGTTCGCAATGCAATTTTTTTAAGAGACAGATTACCACAATTAAAAAAATATAATTACTCATTAGGGTAAGTACACTTTCAGAGTGGGTTGAGATTATTTTAGTAAATATTTCAGAGGTTATCTCATCTGGAGACCCATCTATCAGTATCATCTCAGTAAACTTCTTGTGTTCACTCCAAAATACAGTGGGACAATGTAACTGGGATTAAGACATGCAAATAAAATTGAGTCTTGTTTTAGAAAGGGAGGCAGGAAAGTGTAGTTTGAAGAAAACAGATGCAATTCAAGCAAATTAAAAACTCTTGCCTACTTCAGAAAAAAAACAACAAAAAACGTCAACATTTTCATATGGGCACCACTTAACTCCTAACTTCTTGACTGAAATAATTTGTAGGTTTTATTTTAAACTGTAAGGAAATAATGGCAGAAGCTTGTCTTGGCCAACCACACTGAAAACCTTGTTCTAACAAATTATACACACTTATCAATCTATATCATATACACAAGTGTGAGTGTGAATCATCACAGTGGCATGTTAAGGTTTGTCAGTCTTAATGGTACCATCAGTAATTGGGCCTTCCCCATTCTCTCACTCCTGTTATGTCTGTTTCAACTTCTTCCCATCACCCACAATTTCATTTCTGATAAGGCACCAAGGATTATAGCTTATGATTTTTGAACCTCAGTATTTTACCTTATATGTGATTGGAAGTTTTCCCTACAAAGATTTTCTGTAAAGGAGCTATAGTGTTTAATTTTACTCTTAGATTTAATACATGTCATAATTACAAAGAGTTCTTAGATAAAGTTGGAATTAATTTTGGCTGCTTTAAAAATATACCTGAAATCAGGAGCCTGAAGTAGTATAAAGTGGTCAAGGGAAAGCAGCTTGAGAAATATATGGTGCTGTGGATTGACTGAATTATGTCCCCAAAAGTTCATATATTAGAAGCTTAATTCCCACTGTAACTTTTGAGGGTGAGAGATCCTATTATGGTAATTTGAAGGTGGGCCTTGAAAGAGGTGATCAGATTGTAGGACCATGCCTTGGTGAATGGATTAATAATGGTGGTCAGGGGTGTGGTTCTGAGAGCTTTAAAAGGAGAGTGCATGAAGAACTATCTCTCTCTCTGCTCTGCCATTTTCTGCCATGTGAGACCCCTGCATTGCTGTAAAGCCACCACCAAAGACAACCCTCACCAGATGTGTTCGCTGGACTTTGGACTTCCTCTGAAACTGTAAGCAATAAATTTTGTTTTCTTATAAGTCATCCAGTTCCAGGTATTTCATTATAAGCAACAGAAACAGACTAATACATATGGTATTAGTATGTATTAGGGAATCATAATCTCTTTCTAATTGCCTTGTACACCATTTGAATCTGAAAAACTTCAGTTTTGTTCTATAAGCTTTTGTATTGATTCTTTATCATAAATCGTTACATCACTAGAGATGTATATCACAAGAGACTGTGATGAGTCAATAAGAGATTTGCTAACAGCACTCTATATCTCCTCTATTCTACTGCTATTTTCCTCTGTGCTGGGGAAGTTGAATCTGTAACAGCAAGTTTAGCGATGTAGAAACCACTAAGAGGAGATTTTCAAAAAGAAACTTACAAGATGTTATTACCTTCCTGGAGCGAAAAAACCTATGGGTGTGAACAATATGGCATCGAACTTCATGTTTTTAAACAAAAAGCTCAGGAAATAGAGGAGATGACAATATATTATTAAAAATACTTAGATTTCTGGAATATCAGCGACCAGTAAAAAACACAATTAGTCATCAGCTTTGCTACAGAGCTACACTTCAAGAATTATTAGGCCTTCTATTGGGCCTATTAGAGATAAAAAGTTATGTTTGAATTTCGTCAAAAAAAATCCATCTAAAATGTCTTAGTGTTTATCTCAACTGTGAGATCTATCTACAATAATCTTTTAATGGATGAAAAGCTAAAACCTTACATGGGTAAAAATGGGAAATAAGTATTAAGCACAGCACAGAATAAAAAGGAACAACTAAATATGTAACAAAATAAATAGGACTTTGCTCCCCAAACTGAAATGTTCCTAAGATCCATGCAAGGCTTTTAAGTAGGCAGTCTTCTGCACCATCAGATTTCAAACCAACACCTCAAATCCAGAAATCATGAAAACAAATGGCTTTTTACGCTATCAGCTGGGTAAAACATACAAAATACCAACTGTTTCTATTTCATGTTACTCTTCATCATTTCACAACACTTCTAGAAAAAAATCTGAATTTCTTTGAGTCCCCAAGTAGGAAACCAAATAGGAGAGGTTTGTCTTACCCTTTTGTAATAAGAAACCCAAGGAAGTCCGGCCACAACGTCTGAGGTTCCACGAGTTCTTCTAAGATGAGGACTGGGA